GGATCCAAAGAAAAATGTGTTTCCATTAAATGTTAAAATACAGCTAAAAAAACACACACGAAAATGTTTTTCTTTTCTTATGAGTGAAGTGCTACACAGGACATGAAACTGAATGAAGAGAAACTTGTAGCAGTTAGCTTTTGAAAACTTGATGTATTTAACTGTAAGTGCACAAAGTTGCACAGTTCAGCAATGTGTATAGTCTTTTTCAGTATTTTGGATGTGCAGTTTATTGGTCCAAATATGCGTTTTCCCTACTTTTGCTGACATTTCAGGCAATGTGCACCATTCAGAGGCGTGCTGCAAGGAGTCTAGAGTTCAGTAGCTACCCTTTGCTTTCAGTGTCATCTCACCTGATGTCTTAAATGGTCAGGAATAAAAAAAAATCTTTTTCTCTTCATTAAATGTTTTTTTCAGAGCGTTCCATTTACATTTGTAGTCAGGATTAAAAACAATAATAATAAAAATAGTGCCAGAACTGCCAGTAAGCAATCACTTCACTACTGGGAGTGGTCATTACTACAAAGCTGATGATTTGCAGTGGTGCCACACACCGCAGAAGTAAAGAGAAAGGCTTCTTCTGTCCTTTCTGTGCTCCCCAGCAGTAATATGGCCCCATGTCTCTTTCGCAGACTACGTACAGTATAAATTTCCGTTCCCCTGCCGCCTCACACACTGCCATTTACTTCTTCATCAATTCCTCAAATCCTCTTGGTTTTTGAATAGTAAAACAAATGAATGAAAAAGGTAAGGGACGGCACAGGTTCTTGGAAGTGGCCATCAAAGCAAACAGGTTTTGATAACTAATTTTTGCACAGTGAGGAGTTGTTACTTTACATAGTGGAGCTCCACTTCATTTCTTTGATGCAAGCTTCTTTTGACAGACTCCTTTCAAAATTTGGAAGAACAAGTATGCAAAACAATTTGTTGAGACAGCAAATAATTAGAGTTACTGAAAGATGCATGAAGGAAACATTTCTGAAAGTTCTGAAAATGTTAATACACCCATTACAAAATAGTACCCAGGGAAGTTCAGTCTTTTCATGGAGAGTCAAACTGTCAAATTAAGACACAATTCCCTTCAAATAAGACTGATTTACACTTTCTGTACAAAATTTGATTGAAATATTAATTACAGATAGGCAATAAGACTGGACAGTTGTGCTGGTTTTGGCTGTTAATTTTCTTCACAGCAGCTAGGATGGGGCTACCTTTTGGATCTGTGCTGGAAACAACGTTGATAGCACAGGGATGTTCTAGTTACTGCTGAGCAGGGCTTACACAGAGTCAAGGCCTTTTCTGCTTCTCACCCCACCCCACCAGCAAGGAGGCTGTGGGGGGCACAAGAAGCTGGGAGGGGACACAGCTGGGACAGCTGACCCAAACTGACCAAAGGGATATGCCATGCCATAGGACGTCATGCTCAGCATGTAAAGCTGGGGGGAGAAGAAAGAAGGGGGGAGACATTTGGAGCAATGGCTTTTGTCTTCCCAAGTCACCATCACATGTGATGGAGCCCTGCTTTCCTGGAAATGGCTGCACACCTGCCTGCTCATGGGAAGCAGTGAATGAATTCACGAGTTTTCTCACTTTCACCCTTCCAATTCTCTGTCCCATCCCACTGGAGGGAAGTGAGCGAGTGGCTGTGTGGTACCTAATTGCCAGCTGGAGTTAAACCACAACAGCAATGAAAAAGTGCAAAATCTGCTCTTCCAAAAGCTTGGAGGAGGGAATACTCTACCCTCACATGCCAAAAATGTACCTTTCTGCATATGCATGTGGAAAGATGCTTCCATTGAAATTGTTCACATCTCTCTAAACTTTAATGTCAGAGTACCCATACAAATCATTCAAAGGACACAGCCATGAAGCAACACTGTACAATTTCCAATGACACGCTACTCTTCCATGAGGTTAAGTAACAGGGAAAAGTAAAAAAAGTCACAAAAATGCATGGAAGAAAACACCCAAAACAAGTCCCCCAAAAGATTGGCATTGTGCTCACAGGTATTCCAAGAACTGAAAGAGTAGCTAGGTTTATTAGGTAAACAGAGTCTAGTGAATAATTAACAGGTCAGCTTCAAGGTGAAGTTCAATATAGACTGTTCTTTTGTTTTTGTTGTTGTGGCTGAGATGTTTTAATGTCTAAAAAAGGGTTATACCAGGTAATCCTGGCAGGATTAGGTGGGAGAGTTATTTATTTAATGGGACGTATTGATTTCATTTTTAGATTTAAGTTATAATTTGGACGAGTATCCGTGATTCATGGGATGACATATAATTCAGTGTTTTGTCCATTTTGCAGTTACGGATACAAAACTGTTAAATGAACACTGTTGTTCAAATCACAATACTAGCCAGTCAAAAGGCTGAAAATGTTCCTTCTCTAAAGGCATTTTTATAGAATTGGGGATTATGTACCGTTTATGTCACGGGGCCTCTGCCTCCTTTGGCATGAAACATCGATAGGAACTGAGCTTGTGAAATTAAAGAGATTACAGAGTGCATTTTGTAGGACTTCTTCCGTGTTTGTGACAGAAGTTGAGTAGTGAATGCAGCAAAGGCTTCCAGAGAGAAAAGAACACGTCAGTGGTTAAGGCAATTGAACGCTGTCTTGAAAGCTAAATTATAACTTTGCCCCTGAGTTTGTAATTGATGCTACGCAAGTTACTTACATTTATCATAGGTGACCACCAACCAATTTTTTCAATGTCTGATGAGAATCTGATTTATCAATGTCTTGAGTACTTAAATCTGGATCTGAAGTGAATGAGAGCTGTAAGTGGGTAAATGAAGCGTGGCATAGTGCTAAACAGTTATAAAAAAAATAAAGTCCTAGACTGCTCTCACATGAGACAGCTAAGCTTTGTGGATTCTTTTATCCTAGGTCCTTTGCCTCTCAGAATTACCACTTGTTAACTGAAGATAATAGCATGCCTTGGTTTTGTAGCAATGCTTGAAAATAAATGTGCTGGTGTTTTAGAAGCGCTCTGTCAAAATAACCATGGAAGAAAAACCACGGGCAAAATCTGTAGTTCTGTATTCAGAGCATTACTTGAAGAAAATACAACAGATAGGACGTAATGCCAGATCGAGTGGGAGAAACAGTGGAAAACTTCTCATTAGATAAATACTTTCTATTCCAGTGCAATGCATGGAACAGGGCTCCAGGAAAAAAAAGGGTAAATGACCATGTACACTAATGATGTAGTAAAATAACAGGCATGCACCTGCGACACAATTTAAAGTATTCCCCAGCTCCTGAGTGTTTTGGCATGGCTCCAATGTGGATGGATATTCACGTGGATCGCAAGAGAACCACTTGTGTCTGCTTTCTTGCCAAATACAATGCCTAGACCATGGGCATGTTAGAGCCCAAACAGTTTTTATTGCAAAGTAATGGCCTTGGCAAAGTTATGAGTTGATTAAAACAGCATCTTAAATCTGAAAGGGAATGGCAGATGCAATAAATGATAGTGTTACTAGCTCCATCTAGGACACAGTGCTATCCCTACAAATGCTCACCCTCATGGTCCAAGAGGAGCACCTCCTACTGCTCACTGGGGAGAAGCTTCCCTTCTTTCAGGCGTGGATCTCACAATTCGACAGAGTGCCCAGTGTGAGGGCATTTACGGTGAAAAAACTAAATGGGGCGGTGCAGAAAGCTATTGCCCCAAAACAGAACAAACGTCAAAATGGAAATTCATTGTTAAGACAGGAAAAGAGGTGACACATACAACGAGCTAAGAGCTGAGCTGCCTTTAGGTATCCAGAAACAAGGAGCTGCAACAGTGGGTAGGGACATATGCTGTGAAGGGGCTACAAAATGATCTTAAATTTTCTACTCTTACAGTGCTTTTTTACATAACAAAATCAACATACAGGGTAACTGGTGCTAACGTTTGGTACCAACCCAGCTGCAGAGTATTTTCTGTTTCAGTCTCACAGATTTCACAAAGGTTTTGCTCAGGAAAGACCACCATGTTGTCAGGACTCTGGCAGCAGGTCAATAAAGAGGCCCAGGAAAACACAGGATGCTTATCTGGTACAACTGCTGTACGAGTATTATTTTCCAGGCACTTTCTCCGCAGTACCCTTTACAACCTTTACAATTATGCTAGGAGCTGTTATGAACTATGTCCTTACCATCTGAGGTAGGACGCAGTGCTTAAGCAGTCAGATACGTTGCAGGAGCACGGTATCACACACACCATGCATGGCTGTGCTCCTACCCCCAACTCCCGCGATGAAAAAACAACGATAAGACATTTCCTTGCGCAGCAGGAGCAATCCAAATAGCCCAAGCCATTTGCTACTTTTTCTGTTGACAACTCTCGAGAGGTGAGGTAACACACTGTAGGACAAGTCTTGCCATGAGATAGGATCACAACAACTTAGAGAGAGTTGTGCGCTTATGTGTGGGAGGTAAAAACTTAGTTGGTCATCTGGGGCTTAGTATTAACTCGATGAAGACTTTTTCAGGATATCACAGATTGCACTTGTTACCGTGAGAGCGGAAAGCAGTCAAAGGACTTCACTTTCTCTAGCGTATGTGCATGGTACTGTGCATGTTTGTAAACAAAACAGAAATCTCTCCTGAAACAGGCACCTGTCTGCTTCCTCCCCCTCCTCCCCTTCCCCACGGGGCAGAGGGTACCCACCTAACGCCGCAGCTCTCAGCCCCCGCTTAACGCGCTCCGGGAAAGCGCTCGGAGCTGACACCCGGGAAGAGGGACGGAGGGCACCGGGCCGCGGGGGCCGCGGCGGGCTCCCCCCTCCCG